CGGCAGCGTAGCGGCAGTGGCGGCGGTTTCCGGCGGCGGCAAGAAAATAACAGACATTAAATAGACGATAAATAGACAATAAGTAGACAATAAATAAACAATAAATTCTGGTAAACACCATTGCGGCGGCGGAGGCGGCAGAATCTGGCAGTCTGCCAGACATTTTTTTGAATTTTCCGGCGGCGCTCTGGCGGCGGCGGCGTGTGGCGGCGGCGGCAGAATCTAGCAGTCTGCCAGATATTTTTGGAATTTTCTGGCGGCGGCGGCCGTCGACCTGCGGCGGTGGCCGGAGGTCTGGCGGCAGGCGGCTGGCCGGAGGTCCAGGGGCAGCAGTGGGGGTATTTTGGTCCAATCACACATAAAAAGTCCTATTTAAGAATGTTTAAACTAATTGGTCCTATTTTGGGAAAAAAGCCATGTTTTGGTAGTATTAAGGTAAATCTCTCCCTTACCCGCACGGGTAGCTCAGTTTGTTCAGTGGTGGGAAATTTGGACCAAGTGGCCAAGGTTCGAAACCCGCAGCGGCCGTGTGGAGGTCACAGAACCTGAAATAAGGCTGGACCTCTGGTGCGCACGGGAAAAAGGTCTACCATCATTGGGCCGACTGAGTCACCATGATTAACATCCTCCCAAAAATCCTGTCGGGTCGGGGTATGGGGGGCTACTGGGGTGGGAGATTCCACCTTTTGGACCAAGGTAAATGTCCCTTAAAGGTTTGGTGCGTAATACGATAGTATATCGTACGGAGTATAAGGATGTTTTTACTTGGACTGTAATTTGCTGGTCTGGTCTGGTATGGTCTGGTCTGAACTGGTCTGGTCTGGTCTGGTTTCTTTGTATTTTTATAACTATCCAAGTCTGGTCTGGTCTGAACTGGTCTGGTCTGGTCTGGTCTGGTCTGGTCTGGTCTGGTCTGGGACGAATTACAGTCCAAGTAAAAACATCCTAATTTAACTAAAGTTGTAAAGGCAAGAACATATAGAGTCCACTGAATTCGACTGAATCGGTTGTTTCTGCTCATATTTATGAAGTTCTGTCTGAAGTGGCTGTATTGGTAGATTCTGGTGGTTTATGAAAAAATTAAATATAAAATATACTACGTGTTTTATTAATAAAATAAAGAAAAAATTATATAAAAATGGTCCTCTATAGTAAATTCACCCAATACAGCCAGAAAAATAACTTTAACCTCACTTTTTCTTATTATTACACAATTCAACGCATGAAATCAAAAGTTACGTGTTTAGTGAAAAAGTTGGCTGATAAACCTAATATCCGGCAAACGTGCTTACCAAAGAGGCTATGGGGATTTAACACACAAAAATCGGTTTTGAGTTTGAGTGCGTTACGTCAAAAACAGCTATACAAATTAGTGAAGTGGATTGTTTATTTGGATGTTGCACGGGTCCATCCACGAACAACTGTACCGTTTACGACATTCAATATCTTCCCTATGATCAATCAGTCATATTCCTTAACTACAAAAATACATCTGCTTTATCACGTATTTTGTCACGGATCGTAGTTCAAAAAATCCGTGACAAATAATATCATTGTTTGACACATAATGTAGTTTTTATTGAAGAAGATGAACTCATATACATTAATTAAATCATGATGAAGGACATGAGTAATCCACCGTTACTCCCACTGTCCTGGAAAATTAGTCCCACTTTGACTTGAATCGGAGTTTAAGAAATTAGGAATAATGTAGAAATGTATGGTTGTGGTTGAGTAAGAAAAAAGTAAATGAATGTTAGCCACACAAAACTTTCCAAAAAGGGAAATGAGAACAATTTTTTGGATGACCCAAAAAGGAAAATGAGACTTATTTTATGGGACGGAGGGAAGGGAGTAATAGTTATAAAATGCAAGCTAATAGCTTTGATCGATGTCGTCAACGAGAAGAGATGTGGAAGAGCAGCTCTAACCCTTTCGAATCTCAAAAATGGCTTGCACCGAGTACCAGCAAGGAAAACCTACCCGGCCACACATTTAACTCCTTCAATTAGTTATTACTACCTCTTTCCACTAAAGTGGGGACTAGATGGGTGGTGCATTCTTTTAAAGTAGTTAATAAATGAAGAATAAATCACGAAGACGAAGAGTATAATAATATTTTTAAAGGAAAAGGGGCAAATAAGCCATCGAGTTAATAAAAAAAGTGCAAATCACCTCCTTTATAGGAGGTTCTGTTCTGACGTCGCCATTTGAGTAGGTTTCCGGTGAAATTTTTTGATGAGATTATTTGAGCATCTTCTTCATTAAGTCTATTTTACCCATACCAAATTTCAACTAATAATTCAATCATGAAGATAGTCAAATAAATGTTTGAAGATAACTGCGCAATTAAACAACGCAGTATATTTCAACAAATAACCTTTTCCCTATTTTAAATACTTCTCCACAAGGTTGATTCCCCAATCTCAAGGCTTTCCACGCTTCGATAAAACATGTGAGAAGTTGTAAATCACGGTGATTCGGTCAACTCAATGGTGGTAGAACTTATTCTCGTACGCATCAGAGGTCTATCCCAGCAAACATGAGTCATAACCTCCGCATGACCGCTGCGGATTTTGATCCTTGATCATTCGTCCAACTTTCCCACCATTCGATCAACTGAGCTACCCATGCTGGTAAAAATATTTTTAAATATGGTATTACTTCCGAGACCAATATATTGAGATAGAAAAATAAGGGGACATAAGAATGGGGAGTACTTTTTTACACGCTCACCTTTCAAAACTAAAAAAGGTACTACCTCCGTCTCCCTTAAAGATTTTCGTTACAAAATGACACAGTTATATACTACTTCCGTCCTTTAAAACTTTGCCAAAGTTGACCGGCACGGAGAATAATAAAGTAAAAATTGTATGGTTGAGGTTTGTGCAGAGGATAGAGAAATTACAGAAACCACAAAATAGTTGATTAAAAGAGAAAGTCGCAAAGTATTTTGGGACGTCCCAAAAAAGAAAGATGACAAAGTTTTAAGGGACGGAAGGAGTAGATAATAAGTAAATAAGGTTCTAATTGAGTTATATTTTGAGAAATAGTTTTGATACTTATATATTATATATAATGAGTTCATTGATGATTGTTTTGAAGTTATAGATGTATTGTTTTTAATACTTAATGATTAATTGTTATTTAAAAGTGTTTATTGATTCCTAAAATAGATATGTGGGTCTTTAGGTGGGACACCCGAAGCTGAAAGCCTTGAACAAAGATGGAAGGAGTGTTTTTAGGGATTACAAACATGTAATTCTATAATGAGTGACGCTACTTGTACAAGAAATTTGTATACATTTTGTGTACACACTTCTAATTATCTGTATACACACTTCTAATTAATTGTGCACACAAACAACTAGAAACTGTGTACATAAAATGTGTACAAATTCCATGTAGAAATAACTTTTTCCTTCTATAATATGCTTTCATTAACTTTTAATTCTATTAATAGCATATACTGTTTTTTTTTTACCACTTTTACCTTATTACTCATATCACTTCACCCTATTCACTGATTCACTTAGGGATGACAATTTAATCCGACCCGAAGGATACCCGCACTAAACAGAATCGGTCAAAATGGAGAAAACCGCTTTGACTGGGTATGGGGCGGGGAATACCCGATTTATGTAAACGGGTAATGGGGCGGTTATGGGTTTATACCTCCGCTCCGTCACCCGCCCCGTTACCCTCCCTGTTTAATTTGGATACGGTTACCCGCACCATTACCCGACCCCGCACAATAATTTACATATTATAATAGTTTGTGTATTTATTATTTAATATATCAAGTATAGATGAATAGTAGTACATTAGTATATGACACTTATACCCTCTATGTTTTTGAAAAATAATCTACTATCCTTTGCATTTCTGAGGAGTTGGTGCTCAAAGTTCACTATTTTAGATTTTTAATTTTCAATATCATTCATCATCCTTCCTTTGTTAACTTCTACATGATTTATTTCTTTACATATTGATTATTTGATTTTCGTGATTTTCTGTACACATTTTTCACATTGTGACTCTCTTAATTTTCACCCAATAACTTTAGTAAAGCTCACATATGAGTTTAAAGTCCAAATATTGGGAAACATTACTCTAGATTGCTTTAATTTATGTAATTGCTAATAATTTGTAGAGGTGTATTGGATGATTAGATTAATTTTGATTGGTTGCTCTAATTTATATCAAGTTTAAATTTAAATTATGATGTTTCTAAAACAGTAACTACAAGAATACCTAAATCATAGTATTAGAAGTACATTTTTTTAGAAATAATTTCAAATCTATAATCAATGGACGAAAATGCGACTCTAGTAATTTTAGTATTTATAATTTTATTCAAATGTTATATCGTAGTGACTATAAAACTTACCAATGGTAACTTATAGTCACATTTATGTCTATATATTTTTTATTAGTAATATTTTAGGAAAAAACTTCCCATTTTCATTATGTTGCTTGTATACATTATTGTTCTTAAATTTAGATGTTGAATGATGGTGGGTATGATTATTGAATTTTTGGAAGTTAAATGTGTTTGTGATTCACATTTAGATTTTACTATCGAGACCAGACTTAATATTTCGACGTTGATGTAGTAAGAGATTCATAATTTTGAATCTAGACATATATAATTTGTGAATATTAGGTTCAAACGATTATAATTTTTTGTGATGTTTTAAAAAACTTTATCTATGGTGCTATTTAATTTTGATTTTTTTTTTAATTTAGGTGGTCAATTATAAGTAGTTAATCATCATTTTAGGATTTATACTAATTTTGAAGAAAAGAATTATCTTTTAACAAAATGGTTACCCACGATTAAACCGTTACCTGCGCGGAAAACCGTTACCCTTGAATAAAGAATACACAACGGATAACGGGGCGATTTCGAGGAAAAATATTATCAAACAGTACGGATACGGGTAATGGTATACAGGACCCCGAACCGCCCATTTGACATTCCTGTATTCACTCCTACGAAAAGAGTGAAACGAGTATATAAATCAGACAATCCAATTTCTTCACACAGAATCCCTTTACACACAAATCACCGCAAGGGTTCTCTCCTTCACCCTATAACAAATGGCGCTCCGCACAACCTTAGCGAGACGCCTATTCAGCTTGAAACAAGCCGATTCAGCTGCGCCGGTTACACATTCTCCGGCTACCGTCGAAAAGTACCTAGCCCCGCAGAACGCATCCAGATTGAGCTTCCACAGAGAACTTATCACGCCGCCTGACGGAACGGTCGGCGCGTTTTTCCAGCGGTTCTTACACAAGAAAGCGGCCGTCCAAGCCACGAGGCTGCCGGATTTCGTATCTACTCCGGACGGAGATGGTCTGAGAAAAAAGCTATGGCCGGTTAACATTTCCGGTGATAGGATCCGGCTCGACGGACTTGTTCCTCCTCCGCCGGTGACTGTTCCGAAGGACGGTATTGGCGAAATATCGATAAATGATGTGAAGAAGATTCTGAGGTGTTCTCAAATGGAGAAGGTGAGGTCGAGGGTCAGAAATATTCCGGTGAACTGCGTTTCGTACTTGGAGTTTGTTAATATTTGCGGTGGCGGTTGTGGCAATACAGAGCAAGCTCTGGAGTATGCAAAGATGATGGACGAATCCGGCAGCGTCATCGTTCTAGGCGACGTCGTTTTGCTCCACCCTCATAAGGTAATTTTTGTACGGACAAATGAAATTGAATTTTGACAAATCGTTTCATCCCAACTTTTACTTGTTGGATTCCCTTACATTGAAATTAAAAGGGGTGAGTACAGTTCGGGTCACTTCAATATTTTGTTAAATTTGTACTCCTTCCGGTTCTTAATTAACTTTATACTTTCATTTTTGGTTCGTTCCATATTAAACTTTACACTTCCTTATTTGCCTTATTTGGCAAACAAATCTACACCAAACAATGCAAAATATTGCCAAACAGTGTCAAACAATTTACTCTACAGTAAAGTCAAATCTATTTCTTTAATATGTGTGAAGTCAAAGTGTAAACTTCATTAAGAAACGGAGGGAGTATGTGACTGTTGAAACCATTCAGTTCGCAATTTTGATTTAAATTTGTTCTGTACTGTCTCATTTTTAAATGGGAGAGTCTATACCAATATTAAAGAGTGTCATATTCTTCAATTATTTTAGGAAAAATTAAAGTTTATTCATACTCCATAACTCCACACAATTTATTAATTTTCATATAGCATAACTAATAAATTTGAGAGAAACTCTAGTAGTACAATACATAAATCAAGAGTGATGATATTTTTACTTTAAATTCTTAAAATACTAAGCACTCCAATTGTGAGGACTTATAAAATTGATATTTACTTGAGTAGGGGACTTTAGATACTTCAAAAAGTATAAAGGTACATGTACTAAGGACTCATTGTACACATGTATGTTGAACCTATACTTTGGTGCGGTTCGGTTCAGTTCGGTATTAACTATCATTTTATGAATACCGATCATGGAATGGTTTGAAATCGGTACATACGATTAAGAATAGAAATTTAGAGATCCATTTGAAACATGCTTTTCCAGTTTGGTACCATACTGAACTGGTTCAATATCATTCCGGTTCCGTATTTTTTCCAAACCCTAAAATTGAATATCCATCATGCGCACTTATTAACTTAACCATGTTTTTTTACAAATACAAATAACTTATTTAAAAGTATTCAATTGTAATATTTTAATTGGTTAACATAATCATTTAAGCAAAGCTAATTATCAAGATCAAAATAAGATTAAAACATAGTCAAGAATCTAAAATAGAATTAATTATGTCCTCATCTCAAAAAATGACTTGTTTAATCCTGTCAAAACAATAAAAGAAAATAATTTTCTCTAAATGTTAGTGAATGAGTCTTATTTTGACAAATAAAATAATCATACTCTTATTCGAGATAATATAAGTGTTCTACTTTTTTTTACCCCAAGAGAGGGTTAGGAGGGGGGGGGGGGGGGGGGTCTGTGATACACTATGCTGAAATTGTCATCATTGAATTTCTCTTATAAGACCTCTTATAAGAGAGCGTGAGTCATTGACCAATTGAGCTGAACCATTTTTTCCAAAGTGTTATACTTTCTATTTAAAGAATTGTCTTTGTATAGACTTAAAAAGTAGGCTAAAGTAGTAACTAGGGTAGCAAATATCTGAAAGTATCACCACCTTTTTCAAAATAGCTACTTAAAAAAGTAGCTAAATGTTAAAACCATATTAATGGTGCCTATATAAGTTCACATATAGTGCATGTTGGGTATGACAATTTTTAAAAGCTTTTCAAAAAATAAAAAATGTTTTTTATATTCTACAGGGAGTAGGGTATGTTTGGTACAATTAGCTGAAAAGATACTTTTGTAAGCTTTTTAATAACTGTTAGCTTTTAGTGATTGAAAAGATCTTAAAAAGAACAGGTGGTAGCTGTTTGGTAAAACGCTGACTGTTTGATTTAGTTCGGTTTGGTATACAAGCTGTTAAGACTAATTAATACTAAAAGTCACGGGCTTTTTTCAGATGCTGTCTCCTGTAGTATCTCAAAAAAGATCTTTCAATTTTTGAAAAGCTTTTAAAAATTGTCATGCCAAACATATAACTAGACTAGAAGCTTTTAGAGACTTCTTGAACAGTACAAAAGCTAAAAGGTAGAGACTTATGTCTGTCAAACATAGCCGTAGTCATTGAAAAAAGTCCGTACTTTTAGTATCAATTAGTTCTAACAGCTTGTATATCATAACTAACAGAGATAACATGCTTATGTGAATCCCCAAATTTTAAAGCACATGTGCGTGTAATTGTGGGAGTTTGTTACATATTTTTTCTTTAAAGTTAGTTTGTTACTCCCTCCGTCCCGAAATAATCGTCCTGTTTTGACCTTCACACAGATTAAGAAAATAAAGTTGACTTCACACTGTAGCGACACTGTTTGACACTGTAGCGACACTGTTTGACACGATAGCGAAACTGTTTGACACTGTAGCGGCACTGTTTCGCACTGTTTTGCACTGTTTTGTATAGATTTGTTTACCAAATAAGGAAAAGAGACAATTATTTCGGGACGGACCGAAAAGGAAAGTAGGACAATTATTTCGGGACGGAGAGAGTATATATTTACTACTTTTATGTGCTATAAAAGTACTTTAGAGTGCCTACGAAGTAAACCTTGCAATAATAGGTGGCGAAATCTATGGAGAAAATAATTTCCGAGACAAATGCACCGCCTAACGACCCGAGAAGGAAACAACTGGAACGGATGGAGCATGAAAAACGAATGATCGATCAAAAAGCCCAGTCATTAGTAAAAGGTGAACTGTACTGTGGTTTGGGCTATCTTGCTGTGCAAACATTGGGCTTCATTAGGCTAACCTTTTGGGAGCTGAGTTGGGATGTGATGGAACCCATTTGCTTCTTCGTCACGTCCTTTCATTTTGGGCTTGCGTACACCTTCTTCCTTAGGACCTCCAAAGAGCCCAGTTTTGAAGGGTATTTCCAAAGGCGTTTCAAAACCAAGCAAGAAAAATTAATGAAAATGTATAATTTCGATGTTGAAAAATATAATATGCTCAAGAAATCCTTTTACCACATGGATAATCATCACCTTACAGGAGGTGGTGCACTTCCTGGTTGAGAATACAATGCAGGCATGCAGTGTTCAAGATATACATGTTTTTTTTAAGTACAGTTATACGGAGTACATGTTATATACCAGATAATATTTGTAATTATCCTTTTCTATAATTATAGGATTACCGATTACCTATCATCTTATATAGGTAGTTTATTAGTTAGCCTTGATTATGCCTATTGTGTGAGACCATATATACTAGAATCAAACAGACCAGCTCAGACCAAACTAATTCGAACAAAAAAATTCGCTCCAAATAAAAACATTCTTACTCATTTATTAAGTTGTCTCACAATGGTTGCCTAAAGAAAAACAAACCACCATACAAAACTTTGGGCTTCATCTCGATTGACCATTTAAGATGAAATCATGAAACTCTAGATCGAAACCCAAGTTTTAGAGGTCATTTTGTAACACTATTTTTCGGCTTATCAGACTTATCAAATAACTTTTTCACCAAATACGTAACTTTTGTTTTTGCGTGCTGAATTGTGTAATAATAAGAAAAAGTAAGGTTGAAGTTAGTTTTCTTGTTGTATTGGCTGAAGTTATTGTAGATGACCATTTTAGCTGTTTTTAAATATTACTTTTTTTATTTATTTTATTAATAAAATATTTTTTAAAAATAATTTTTTCTTAAATCAACAGAATCAGCCCATGTAGCTACTCGAGCCTACTTCAGTCAGAGCTTCATATATTTCAGCAGAATAAGCTGAATCAATCGAATTTTAGCCACTTTAACTTTTTCATTTTCTAAATAAACACATGATGAACAAGAGCATCGTCATACCTAGTGTTTTTCAGTTAATAGACTCTGTTGGCCAAATGAAATTACTAAAATTATAACATACTCGTATTATTGATGACTTTTCCAGTGGCGGTTTGGGCAGCGGCTGGACAGGTGGGGGGGAAGGTTGGATATAAAGTACACTTAAAAATTGGATTAATTAATAATTAAGCAAATTATTAGTCATATTTTTGGAAAAAGGAAAAATAGTTGTTTTTTGTATTTCAGAAAGCTAAAGGTAATATTGGTGTCCTCATTCCAAAAAGAAAAATAGTCATTTTTTTATAAGTAGTGATTCACAAAGTCATAGTTAATATTTGTGCTCTTTTTCCCTAGAAAAAAGAATGAAAAAGAAATGCCTGAGTATCTTTTTGGTTAATATCTATTCATGATTTTTGCAGCTAAAAGGGGTATTGAGTCATTGAGGTAGTAAAAGTGTTGTATGGAGGTCATAAATGTCTAAAAAGATCCATACCATTGTACAATGTGTATAGCCTGTAAAATGAAAGGTCAAAGCTTGAAGTCCAAATAACTGGCAGAAGCTTGGTATACACAAGATAACACTACATATACTTTGAACCAAATGGATGAAAAAACTGTCAAATGTATGAAAGTGGCAGTCAAACCAGTAACTATTGCAAAACTAATCAAGCATTTTGGTGTGGAGATCTCTTCTTGTATTCCTTGGTCAGGGAAGTAGCCATTAACAATGAAATCTGAGAGTAACTTATCTTTGGATTGAAAGGTTTCCATTAACCAGTCACTAACATCATCAGATATTGGCATCTTTTCAACTGGGATGCGTCTAACATGCATGTGAACCTCAGATGGATCTACTCCAAAAACGTTGTCTATGAGAGATGGGCATTGATGCTTGTATGCTATAGTTATGTCGTAAACTGCCAAATGCAAAAGAGATAAGGGGCGTTTTAGACACTACAACGAAATGAATTGACAAGCATTCTTGGAATTTGTTTTAGTCGTTAAATGTTCCTAACTAGATTGGTTTCAATCTTAGACAAAACCCGACAAGATTAAATAAGACTTAAACAATAGTAAAATTCAAATAATATCATACTACGTAAAACTTTATCAAATAGAACAGAGTACAAATCACAGATCACATTTAAACAGATATGACTAGACTTATACAAATATGACTGAAAATTTTCAAGCTGAGTGATAACATTCGTAGTCTTTCAATAATCCTAACATTATGACCAAGAATGTAAAAGAAGATAATGGGAAGATGAGATAAAACGCCCTAATTCAGATGCTATTAAATCCATACACAACATATAACACAGAATGATGTCTATTGGAGAATAAGGTGATAAAGAGTGCCCCACATTGGATCTTATGTGATCTATAGGTATTAGCGAGGTAAATTATACTCCCTTTGTCCCATAAAATTCTTCCAACTTTCCATTTTGGGATGTCCCAAAAAATTCTTCCCACTTGTCATTTTTGGAAGTTTTGTGAGGCTCATATTCATTTAGATTTTTCTTACACAACTACAATCATACATTTCCACTTTATTCTCCCTTCCTTAATATGCGTGCCAAGTCAATGTGGGAAGTTTTTTTTGGGACGGATGGAGTATCTTTTTAGGTGACTTAGGCCTAACTTTTAGTATGCATTCAGACCCGACCCGATTGGGATTTGTCTAATAGTTATAATGACAATCATCATACGAGTAACCCGCTTGAAGTCGGTTTGATCTATTATCTACTCCTCAAGTCTCATCTGGTATGGATCGAGTATTTGGTTTCTAGATGTTTACCTGATCTTCAAATCTAAAATATATGAATGATGTAAAGTGTAAACTTCACAGAAAAATCATATAAAGAGTTAGACCTAAATTAATATAATGACTTAAATTTTATCTTTGTGAAGAACTAAAGGACTTTCCTTTCTATTATAACTGCTGTAGTATTTGGATTCACATATTTTCTTCTCAAATATCTTTCAAACAAATTTGAGATGAAGAAAATAATGAGTTTGGGTTTTAAAAAAGGAACCTGCATCCAAGGAATGTCTCAGCATATTCAAGCAAGTAGAGAAACCCTTCGACTTAGGGAGCAATACATTCTTCATAACTGGAAAGCCATTATCAACAGCAAACTTTTGGCTTCTAAGGCACTTCTGTTCACTATAAGAAAAGAACACTTCAAACTCTAAACAATATAACATGTATGAGATTAATTGCTATAAAGCACGGAAACACCTGAAAAGGTACATTTCCGCTTCAAAAACTCCACAGAAACTCTCCAAACAGGAAAAGAAGGCATTTCCCGTTCCATATTTCCACATTTTCACATGTTTCCATGCAATATAGATTAATTGATACTCCGTATAACATATTCCTTACGTAAAATCGGTTCCTTCGGGGAAAACAGCTAACCACAATGAATCACGTGGATCTGTGAAAGTCGAAAGCATGGAGCGTAAAACCGGTTCATCCACGTCCCATTTCCTCTCCAAAGGGATGAACTCTAGGAAATGAAACGCCCAACTAAAAATTGGCAATTTCATCAAACTCTTCTTGAGTACATACTTTATATGACCCAAACACCCCTTCCTCAATGCTAGATCCCACATATACATCCAGTCGACCTCCGTCCGATGATTGGAAATCAGCAAAGCGCGTTCTCCTGTCGGAACACGATCTCCATAGAATATTACTTTTGTTTGGTTTATCTTCTCGAACAGAAAGGGAAATAATCCAAGCCAAATGCCAAATAAAAGAGAGACTGCTTTCCTAGAATAGTGTGTGCTGAAATAGCGTAGGATTACTCCCACTGGGACAAGGTATATCAACAACATTGATGCACTTGAGAGGAGGATTATTAAAAATGTCAAGCCCCTAATGATTCTTAGAATATTCAAAGGGCGGTGCTTGGAGGCTCGTTTAGTAGATTCAAAATTTTGACCATTCACCATGGCTTGTTCCTCATTCAATCCCAACAACTTTTCTGGCTATATAAAGACAAGAAAATATATCACTCAAAGGTGTTATAATGTCTATCGAAAACGAATCAAATAAACATTTTAATGAGATCATTAGCAACTTTGATATCTAAGTGAGCATTTCGAAAGCAACGATATACATGTGTGACATGAGAGATATAAACAAATAAATTAAATAAATGAAATTGTTCTTTCTTCCTCTCCAATACCTTCTAGGTTTTGAGTTACGAGTACTTTTTATCAATCAAAAGATATAAAAAGATAGAAGACCATTGAAATAAAGATATATATTCTATTTATCAATTTTAATGTGTTTATTTGTACAATTTGTTCAAAGAAACCATAGTGTCCGATATGAGACCCACAAGTAACCATATTGTCTGATATGTACATATTGACAATTTTATACCGGGATTGTATGAGATATATATTCTATTTATCAATTTTAATGTGTTTATATGTACATATTTGTACACCGGATATGTTTTGGATATGTTTTATGGATTGTTCATTTGGACTAAAATTTATTAGTGTGGTCTGCATGTCGTCTATTTGACCTTTTGTTCCGGTTTGTTTAGATATTTGGTTTGATCTAGTCTTTTAAAAATTTACAATGAATCAAGTCCAATTTACAAGTCCTAAAATACTATCAATAACATTTGTTAATTATTATGATTACTCATCACAACGATATACATGTAGAGCTATCCTTTCAGAAATTAATTTTGTACCACGTTTTGACAAAAGACGTAGGGGTATTAATTATGGATGTTTCTTTATAAGGAAAGGTAATTACTAGTCGTCCGCATACACTAGGGTTGATGACCTATTTATAAACGTTTACAACAAGTCTAATCATTAAATGCTACATGGGCTTAACCCCCATTTTATAAACTAATACAGCGTTAATGGGTCACCCAGCCCAATAAGTAATAAAATAAACTTAGACCAATTTCCGTTGGAATAAGGCTCAAATTGGACCCTAAGGTTTCGCGAGAATCTCATATTGGATACTAAGGTTTTAAATAGATCAAATTGGACACTATGATTACATATGTATCTCATATTGGACACTGAAATTTCATAATTCATACTTTTTAGACAGTCACTTATGATTCTCTTCTTCCTTTAATCTTCTTCCTTTAATAAAAATCGTTAGTGTTACATTTTCTTTCCTTTTTGGTGAAAGTAAACCAATTTAATTACGTATATAATTTTGGAATATTTAATTTGAAGTTTTAGAATATATAATTTGATTTTAATTAATAACTTCTTATATTTAACAATTTAAAAATGTATTTAGGATTTTTCATTCATATGATTTTTATGGAACTTTAAGAAATACCGATTTGTTAAATTGATTTAAAAATATTAAAGAATTCAATTACATTATAATAGATTTTCATAATCGGAGCATCTAATTATATATTCTAAATCTAAATACATAAATTAAGTTATTTTTATTTTTTAGGTACATAAACCAAGAGAAAAGGGAATACTTATATCTTTCAAGGTGAAAATCTTTGATGGGTGTCCGAAAATGATCAGAAAAACGTAAAATTTTATCAATTTGAAACTTCATTGTCCGATAATAGACACACAAGTAACCACAGTGTCCAATTTGACCCATTTGAAACCTTAGTGTCCAATATGAGATTCTCATACAACCGTAGTGTCCAATTTGACTCTTATCTCATTTCCGCTATCTGAGCTGTGTTCAAAGCCAGGTTGGGTCAAAATTAACGAGCGGATTATATTGGACCAACTCACCAACATGAGATATACACAATAGAATATATATGCATTCTATTCTAACGCACACTATGGGTGTGACGAATCCTAATTTTTAACAAGTTTATAGAGGATTTTTGTTGACTATTTAGAATATTTTCTTTGGGACCGTTTCCGACCAGATCAGATTATCTCTGATTTGACTTAAACAGATCAGACCATATTTAAATAGATCAGATCAGACCAGATTTCCATAATTATAAAGTGCACATAAACCAGACATTTATCAGATCAAATCTATTCGGATCAAACCAAATTAGATCAGATTTCAGCAGACCGGATCACACCAAACCACCAAAGAAAACATCTTTATGCCACAAATAAATTGGACCGGATCACACCAAACCACCAAAGAAAACATCTTTATGCGACAAATAAATATTAAATTGGCTACATGTCCATCATCAAGATTTCCTAATTCCTAGTCATAAATGCTCTCTCTCTCTCTCTGCAATTAACCCACCTTATTGCAAAAATCATATGACCAACAAAACAAGGATGGCCCACCAATATTTATCTCTCAAAGAATTTCGGGAACATATAAAAATCAGTTCATATTCAAAGTTGACATTTTTATGACTTTCCACGTCTCTTTGCTTAAACTCATCCTATTCTCACAAAGATTGGAGAAAATATGTACGCATCTTTTGACCCACCAAAATTATCATATCAAGATTCAAGAATCCAACTTCATGATGGAGTATAATTTTGAACCTTAAACCATTTAATGTGATATCTAGCCTAGAATATCAATCCTTTCAAAAAAAAAAAAGCCTAGAATATCAATCAACAAGTACTGATTTTAGAACACTTAAAATAAAAATAAAAAAGTGGGTAATCTTTTGCATCAAACTATCAAAGGAAGCACCACTGCACCAGTCCTCTCTAATTCTCTGTAACACTACCTTGGAATGGTCAAATCTTTCTAATTTGGAATAACCCATTCAGCTCAATACTTAAGGTGTTGACAGATTGATAACCAAAAAGTAAAGATCCGATCTTTATCTTCGGGTGTTGAAAAAAGTTCGGCCAAAAGCTAGAAAAGTAAATCTTGGATTCAACAGAAAAAAAATCAACCCATACAGAAATCTATATGAATGCGCATTATGATCGATCAGCACTATAATGGAAAACTAAAACACAAGCAGAGGACGTACCTGGTTTAATCTGGGCACAGATATAGTCATTTGTATACGGAGAGATATAGAGAGAGAAATGGGCAAAGCATTTGAGAGAGATGAGAGGAGGGAGAACGGCGAATAAGGAAGGCCAGGAAGAAGCAAAAGGCAAGGAATGAAGAAAGTTTAGACTTGTTCAACGAGAGTGGCAATCAGGTGCCGTAGTCTGCACTCAACTCCACCAACTTTCAATCATCATTATGTCCTAAATAAATAATATTAATACGGAGTAATGTTTTGCTAATTAATAGAGTTATATCCGGGGTTGTTATACTAATTGATTAATATAGTAATACCCGGGGTTTGTTACATTAAAACACCTACTTTGGTTATAGACCACCACCCCATTTTTTTTATTAAGAAAACAAAATACTAACTCCATTGTTCCTAAAAAAACGCGGATATTAAACTGATATGCACTGCAATTGGGACTGTGTGCGGATTGAGCTCCTGGGTTATTGGGTCGGCACTAAATATCCCAACAATTTTAATTGGAAAAAGGATCAAATAGGCCCTTCAACTTACATAAAAAAGTCAAATAAACCCTTATATAGGAGGCTCTGTGCGGCCGTTGCCATTTGAGGCGGTTCCCTGTTGAATTTTTTGATCAAATTTTTTGAGCATCTTATTTTACTCATACCAAAATTCAGCTACAACTTCAATCGAGAAAGCATTCAAATGAATTCTTGAAGATAACTGCGCAGTTAAAAGCGCAGTTATCTTCAAGAATTCATTTGAATGCCTTCCTGATTGAATTGTTAGCTGAAATTTGGTATGAGTAAACTAGACTTAATGAATAAGATGCTCAAAAAATTCCATAAAAAAGTTCCACAGGGAACTACCCCAAATGGCGACGGCCGGAAAGAGTCTCTTATATAAGGGCTTATTTGACCTTTTTATGTAAGTTGGATGCCCTATTTGATCCTTTTTCCATTTTAATTTGTATTTGTGCATAGGGACTCATTGTCACCGTTTCTACTTTTTTTATCGTTTAAACGGATGACTTAAATTGATATAATAGCATTCAGATAGGGGTAAAAACAACAAAACGATCACAGACAACCGCCACGCCTTGAACCAGACTTACAGTCAATCACCTTCAAAAAAGCAATACAACTCGCTGATTCTGTAGTGAGCATAAATGAGCTAACGACGGTTAAAGCAGACCTCCCATCATCCAATTTTAATGCAAGCGTCTTACAACAATAAAAGTAACCAACAGAAAAATGAATAGAATGATCATGAAAAATAAATAGCAAGCAATCCAAATAGTAAAATTAAAACACTGCTTCCAAACCCTAAACTCTCCTGCACTCCATGACGTCCGTTCAGGAGGGGGACACTCTAACCCCATGCTTCGTCCATTACCTTCTGATCTCAACCATGAATGACATCTTTGAAACTCTCCACCTGCTGCTAAGGGTACACAACCTTTGACCGCCATATAGGCACTGCGGTCTACCGAAGAAGAGAGCCTCACGAAAGGTGAACGAAAGCTGCACAAGAAAGCCGCACTTCGTCGAAGACGAAAGCGGAGAAAAACAACCCTTAAACCTATGGGAGACAGCCGCCTAGAGACAGAAGCTCTCTGTAACCATTTGTACTTAAAAGTGTTTCTTCAAAGTATTTAGAAAAATGATTAATAGAGTACTAGAGTTGGTAGTGTGAAATAAAATATTTTGAAAAAGTAAAAACTAGTAATGTTTGGTATAAAAAATTATGTAATAAAAAGCAGTTTTTAGTTCAACCATTTTAAGCAAAAGGCTGAAATGACTATTTAAGCTGTTGCAAATACCCTCATTTATGCATGTTGGTTTTCAAAATTAGGCATAGTTTGTTGTCAAACTAAAATAAATTTGATATAAATAAAAAAAGTTTTATACGCCATATAAGCGCTTAGTTTAGTTTGTATTGAAATAACATACTCCGTCCCTTAGTTAAAGTCTCACTTTCCTTAAATATATGTTTTTTATTAAGTTTATACTTCTATTTTAGGAAAGAATATTACAAGAAATGCCTTTAATACCTTTGCACACTTGAAATACTCCATTTATTTGGCAACCTGTTCTGGACTGTTTGGTTGCCCGACCACTTTGAATACGCCATTTATTTGGCAGCCTGTTCTAGACTGTTCTCCTTCTCACTCTACCTAGGCTATGTTTGGTAAGCCACATAAGCTCAAAATGGGTTGGAATATTTTAAATTCAGTCAATTATTTTGTTAAGAATCTTGTTTGACAAAAGAGCTTAAGTGGGCTGAATCTTAAATAATTGAACTGAACCCACACGCTACTCAGCCTAGCGTTTCCGTTCAGTTTAGTGTATAATTTACATACTTTCCCATATTATCCTCTCGCTTCTCTCTTTCATTCGCCTATCATCTTCACCCCTTTATCGATCTTGATGAATTCCCCTGAATTTGGAAGACGGGGAGCGACTGTTCAATCTTCCCAGAACCGTGTGTCGCCACTAGTAGTGTTGATTCTCCACTCTTTGACTATCCTCCATTCCCCCTCTCACTGTTTGTACCACTGTACAAGGACGCTTGAGTCATCGTACATCTTGTTATTTGGTTAGCTGGAGTTGAGATGTCTCGTTTGGGACTACTTTGAGAAGGTTAGGAACTTTAGCACCAGAATTTTGCTCAAGCCCATTGATGAGTCTCGTGTTGATTTATTTGCTACCAGTTTTAACGAAGAGATGATCTTTATCATATCCCAAATTTTGGTTGGTGCTTTTGCTAATGAGAAGAGTCAAGAGTGTAATGTTAGAGGCACAATATGATTATAGTTAATAAATACGGAGTAATAAATTAATAATTACAGAGTATCATTATGTAATAAATAAAGACCAACCCTCTATTTCAATGAAGAGGTATTTCTTCATGAAGAGGTATTTCTGCATTCAAAAAGTATACGTAATATACACACACACAATAGAATACATATATAACTATGCATACAAAAATGTTACGAAGTACGGTGTAATATTCATTTAAATATAAAATCATTATAATAAATATTTTGTTCTATTAATAAGTTATATGCCCTTTAATGTAATTTCATATTATCTGGTCACTCTCTCAGGTCTTTTTGCCAAACGGGTTTATTCTATTCAGCTAGTAATTCAGATTCAGCACTTCAAAATCCAGCTTCAGACAATAGTCTCTGATCCAGACAATAGCCCCTAATTCAGACATTAGCCTCCAGTTCCAGCTTGTTGTGCCAAACATAGCCCTAATCTCCTCCGACATGTACCTCATCTCATCCGTCGTTTCTTCTCACTCTACCTCATCTCTTCCGTTGCTACCCCTACCTCATTTCATTCGCTGCTACCCCTGACCTTGTCTCTCCATTGCAACCGCTCATCTCTGACTTCTCACCTGTAAATGGAAAGAAATCCTAATCCTATCTATATATGCTCGGTTACAAAATCTTTACAACGAAACCACCCATTTCAAACGATTTCCGATCCAAACACCCTATTACATGCAATTCTGGTCTTAGATGTGCCAGAGCAAACTCCTCCAATTTCAAATCCGGTTTCACATCCGATCTCACCAGTCACCACCGATGACACATGCACCCGTCTACCTATAAGATGCCGATAATCATGTAATTTCCATGTGTATGTTTGTATTTTTATTTAGTTTTGATTGATTTTTACTTTGGAAATTACACACTTTTGGTGTAATAGTTTAGTTTGTTAAATTCTTGTAAATTGTTTAGATTGGGTTCATTCTGAGCTCAAACAGGTCTTGATCACTCAAAGGACAATTGGTGAACCCCAAAAGTGGAAGAAAGGTGCATAATCTCAAGAGAAAATAGGATCGTGAATTTTTTGTCTATACCCGGTCGGGTATCATCTATACTCGATCGGGTATCTTGTTGAAACTTCAAATCGGATCGGATCCGAAGACAAAGGAACATGCAGGGAAGATTTTGACCACGATCGAGTGTCTATACCCGATCGGGTACACCGACATACCCGATCGGGTATGCCCTTGAGTTTAACCCCAAATCCGGTCGAGTATAGCCCGAATATCATTTTCTACACATACTCGATCGGGTATAAAAGCACACCCGATCGGGTATACCTATAGAATATAGCCTATAATCGATCGAGTATACCTCGAATCTGGCATTTTACACATACCCGATCCGGTACCGTGTATATACCCGATCGGGTACCCGAGCTGCATCCCAAGAGCCTATAAATACACCCCTTTCCTTCACAATTAGATATCCAATTTCCTATATACTTCTAAGCTCAGTATAGAGTAGTTCTTTCTTTATATTTTCTTCATGTTTAGTCTCCAAATGAGGAGCTAAACTCTTCCATCTTGGTTTTGCTACTTTGAAGCTTAATGAATTTATAAGTTGTGAGTTATTTTCTTTGATCTTCTTCCTTGAATATTAATTCTTCCTTTAAAATACTATTTCTATATCAAAGTTGGGGAGTGTTACTAAGATGACAATTAGTTAACATCTTGACATTGGTTATAGTAATAATTATTTCTTCCTTTATGTTAATATTGGGAAATGTTACTAAGATGACAATTAGTTAACATCTAGATATTAACTATAGTAGGATTCATATTCTTTAATATTCTTCCTTGGGTATTAATTAATTCCTACTCATATTTCATGTTAATATTTTGAACATTACTTAAAGGATTAACTAGTTTTGTTTCATATATTAATTATTACTAGAATCAATCGATTAATACGCTTATTATTAATTCGATTCATTCAACGGTAGTAAACTTGGATTATTAATGCATGCATCTCATGGTTAATGCACCATGGGGAATTAGTTATATTGATTAAACCAATAAACCGCTTGTGTTGAGGTTATCAATATCAATCGTTTTCATCTTAAGCTTATTGCTACTATCGAATTAATATACGGCGCTTGTTCTATGTTGACTCAATAGTAAGTTTTATTAATGAGCGCATCTCGTTATTAATAACTACCCTCGATGAACTGGATATACTCCTCGATTGAGTATTCGAGAGGAAGATAGTTAAAGATATAACCGGGATCGACGAACATTTCATTAAGTGAATAAAAGCAAAACCAACTCCTCATCTCTATTAATTAAACCACATAAGTCGTTCATCTTAGTGTTTAAATTTACTTCAAATTCAACAACAATCAAACCCCCCCTTTGTTACTAATTATATAAAAGAAAAGTATTCCTTTCCCTGTGGATATGAACCTTACTTCGTTATACTACGCATATTCGTTGTATTGTATTTATTTTGAGTGCACCTCATGACAAGTGCACGTCAAATTTGGCGCCGTTGCCGGGGAAAGGCAATAATTTTTCTTTTATTTCATTTCAAGAAAAGTAAAAAAAAAGTATAAAAAGTATATAAATAAAATATAAAGAGTTCTTATTTTTCTATTTCTGAGCTTTGAAGTATATGGTTAAATATCATTCACTGAACGAAATCACCTACCAATCAAACCTCGAAATAGAACAAACTATCAAGCAGTTGAAAAGTAAATTTTCAAACACCGACTCGGAGGAATCATCTACCAGAGATTCATCCACCGCTAGCTCGAGTTCTAGCGAATCCGAAGAGTCCTTTCACATGGCTCTTGAAACAAAAATACTGAGGGAGCTCACAGCTCCAAACTTGAATCAACAACCACTGTGTATTACCTTCTCTACACTCAACGAAGGTAATACATTTGAGCTTAAATCTGGGCTGATTCATCTACTTCCTTCCTTCCATGGCTTAAGAGGGGAGGATCCAAATAAACACCTCCTGGAGTTCCACGTCGTATGCACAAGCACATGTCCTAATGGAGTTACCGAAGAGCAAATCAAATTGCGGGCTTTTCCATTCTCACTTACGGACACCGCACAGGATTGACTTTTCTATCTTCCCTCGGGAAGTATAGACACATGGGCAGCCATGAAAAAATGCTTCTTGGAAAGGTATTATCCCGCTTCCATTTCATCATCTTTAAAGAAGCAAATCAGCAACATCGAACAAGGTGATGATGAATCACTTTATGAATATTGGGAGCGCTTCAAAAAGCTTTGCGCTAGCTGCCCATATCATGGGTATACAGAGCAAGACCTCATCCTCTACTTCTATGATGGTCTTGCGGAACATGATAGACGCATGGTGAATGCGGCGTGTGGAGGGGGCATCGTGAACAAAACTCCCTCTCAAGCGAGAAACCTCATCTCGGAGTTGGCCGAAAATTCTAGGAATTACACCGGGCGGTCCTCAACCCGGAAAGTTGCCGCAGCAGAATCTACATCTTCCTTGGAAAGCCAAATGGCCGGCTTGACCTCCTTGGTTAAGGACTTCCTCTTAAATCCTAAAATCCAAGAGGTCAAGGTCTGTGGCATATGCACGCAACAGGGGCATCCTACCGACTCTTGCCCATCACTTTAAGAAGATAACCCCGAGCAAGTCAACGCTTTGGGGTTCCAAAACCAAAAGAGGTATGATTCTTATGACAATACTTACAATCCCGGGTGGAGAGATCACCCAAATCTTAGATATGGGAATCCTCATGGAAACCCAAAACAAAACAACACTCCATAAAATCAATCCTTTCCTCAAAATA